CATATGAAACATATTTTATAAAGTCATTTCGGTTTCACAGGGTTTGTCGCTTTGTTCTGGAGTACATGTCAAGCCACATACCTTGATTTTTGGTTTGGAGAATGCAGTCAGTACACCAACTGAAGAAATAGTGGGGTGGTCTGCTTCTCTAGGGTAATTTCATGGTCCTAAGGAAGGAATTTAACAGTTTATTTTCTGAAACTGGTTCAAGGAACATTCCTTAAGTAAAAAAATTCAATCAAGAATAATATTACTAACGTTGTGGAGAAGGTTTTTTAATACAGAATTTCCATCTGTGATATATTTAAATTCTAGGCCTCAGGGAGCAATTTCAGAAAAGGGCCTCCTTCACCCTTTGTTGGATGCAAAATAAATAGTCTACTCTGGGGATGGGGGGCTCCCCTTACCTCCCCACCCCTGCAAAATGTAAGACTGGCTTCCATAGTTCCTGAGATCACACATGCTACGTTTTCCCCCTCACACAGCAAACTCAACTATTAACATCAAAATGTTGTTCATAACTTTAATTACTTAAATTATTTTGTGAGTACTCACATCTAGTAGAGAGAGAGAATCACGTGCTGCCCAAAAGGCGGCCTCAAGTCAATAAGCGGAAAGCTGTCAATACTGAAATAAAATACTCTCCTGATCTAGTTTTGACGCTTTAACAAAGACAGGTTTTGCCATTTAGGACCGCTCAGCCATCTTGACTGAACACATTAAGAGGGTAGTCCTCGACCTGCTTATTGCCAAGGTACTTTAACAGTGATTTCTGAGAAGCTGTACATCTCTCAACAGAGGCCTAACATGTTTGAGCTGTCAATAAAGATCCTCACTAAGGAAGAGGAAAGAACGCGCAAGTTTTAAATGAATACTTTATTGTGCATTCTTCCAGTCCTAAAGGAGGGAGAGACTATACTCCGTAAAAGCTTAGAACTTTATTTCCTACTTTTCCTGACCTGTAGCATGTATTTAGTCTTTGGGTAGTGTTTGTGCAAGACTAATGGCTGAATGCATACATTTAACAGCACATGGTGGATGTGCTGCTCTGAGAATTGCCTTAAAAAAAAGTAAAGTGAAAAAATAGACAAAGAAATCTATAACCTGAGCCGTCTTTCATATTTGTTTGCACTGTTCCTGAACCGGCACTGAGGCGGTGACAAGGAGATCCGAAAGATGCACCTGAAACAGTATCTGCGGGCAGCTGCGTTTGCCACCCGGCTTCACTGCTGCTTTCCAGCGGCGAAGGCGCAGCAGCAGTAACAGGGAAGCCAGAGCGAGCCTCCCGGCAGCGGCAGCGGCGGCGGCGGCGGCGGCGGCGGCGGCGGCGGCGGCACCGGCACCAGCGCAGTTTCCCCTCTCCCCAGCCCTGACTCTACGCGCACATGCGCACTGCGCCCGCAGCCCTGGACCATTTGTCAGGACTACTCGTGAGACGGAGAAAAAAAAAAGAGAAAATTTGGGGGTAAGAAGCGG